AACTAATTTTTGGTCGAAAAATCGCTATGTTATGTTCAAACGTCCGCCATTTTGTCATAAATCGATATTTTCAAAATCGGCTATGACAAGTACTAGATTATAGTATCTAATTTAATAATCTTTTTGGTTTTTTTGTTTCAGATGATTTTTAAAGAAACGCCAGTGGGTACCGTTTACCCGGATTTTTTTACGGCGCTCCAAAGATTATACCACAACCTCGTCAATTTTTGATTTTTTTTAATAAAAAAAATTGGACATATTCCTGAATGTGTATACTTTTAGATAGAAAAATCCCCAATCCGAAATTTCAAATAGTTTTCCTTAAAAAAATTCACAAAGATGACCTTTTTTTCCGGCTCCTAGGTGTATATCTCCCCTTAAGTCACCAATCATGAAAAATAACTTACAATGTATTCAGCAAGTGTTTGATGCGAGTATTACGTTTATTTCAACTTTACAAATAGATGGCAAAAATATTTTTCACCATCCTCGACATACATTTGCATTGGGTTTTAAAATCAATACGCAAAGTTATTATAATTTAGCACATTATCTATTGTACAAAGAAGAGACTCCTTTAAAATATTTATTAACATACAAGTGTTCTCAGGATCACATCGAATTATATTTTTCGTGTATAAGACGACGCGGTGGATGGAACGATAATCCCAACGTCTTACAATTTAAATGGGTTCTACGGCAATTTTTATTTCGCAATACTGTTCGTGCTAGCGTTAATGCAAATTGTTTAGGTGACACTTCTGAATCCTATTCCATATTGCAATTTCGAACCCCGAAACGTGTTATACATGAGTATGATACGTATCCAACTGTAGAGAAATCAGAACAATATTTAAATGTAGCAGATAACATTCATCTTTCATGTATGCAAGAAAATATTTTGTATTATATATCTGGTACTATTGTTCGCACATTATTACAGGAAATACATTGCCCTCATTGTGCCAAAATTTTAATTGAAACAAATGTAACATGCGCCAAATTCTATAATTATACAGTGAATATTATGCAATATAACTCATTTACGACTTTTGTAAATCGTGGAAAACTGTGTTTTCCGTCCGGTGCAGTTTTCAAAATCGTAGAAACTGTTGATAAGGCATTTAAAACAGAAATAACTATACATGGCATACAAGGAACACATTTTAAACAAAACATTGTGATGAGTACTATGCAAACATTATTACCACACATTAAAACAATGTTTACATCTCAACATCCTGTAATGGACAATACGGGAGACGAAGATCTTCACGTGACAAAAATTATTAAAATAATAGCATCGAAATATATCAAACTTCGGACTTTAACTTATTGAAAAAAAATGACAGAGCGATTTTTAAAAGAACGTGGAACAAGTCGATCAAAGTTGCATAAAACTATTTTATTCTATCATGTATAATTGATTATTTCATTAATTTACTTTTCAAACGTTATTTCTGTTTAATATCTTTTCAGTATTATTTGCGTTATTTATATTCCTGCGCATATTATATTTATCTATAATATGTTGAAGTGTTCTATATAGTGTTGCATATTTTATTTGCGTACATCTTTTTACTAAACGATGTACCAATGTGTTAAACAGTATAGATTTTTATTTATGCAACGTTTTGTTACAACGTATAGAGTTTTTATACATACGGTTTTACTCACTGATACATATAGTTTTGTTTATACGAATAGCGTGTATATTTACCGTTTTGTTTACGTGCAATATTTTGTGAAAAATGTTTTGTTTCTGCACATTGCGTTATTTATATCAATAGTATTCCGTTATATGCAAAGAGTTGTTTATAAAACATTCTCTTTTAATTTTATAAATAAAATATTATTTATTATAAAGTCTTAAACCAATGATATTTATAGTCCGATTTTATACATACCACCTCATAATTATTTTAACATACTATTTCAGTATATCATTTTAAGACAGTCTTAAAATGGTGTTAAATATGCAATGGGATCATAATTACCACCTAGTATTCCTTATTTCAGATTTCACCATTTACTGGGAACGGGACATTCAACGACATAACAATTGTAATCCTCAACGTTGTAGGTAATTCTATTATTACAACATAATAATGTTTTTTTATTGCAGCAGTTATTTATTTCGTTTTCCGGACATTAATGAATACGTAAATTGATAAGATCGGTTCTTCCTTTTTATATGTATATTTTATTTCAATAAATAAATAAATAAAAATAAATGTCCTACAACAAATACAATGATTCAATAAATCACTTCCAACAAATACAATTCGCTATACATTAGTATTTATATAAATATTTATCTACACATTTTTTTATTTCGCTAGGTATTATTTATTATGTGTCATTTATTCTCTCCTATACATAAATACTGTTCCGATGTGGATGTGTGGAAAATGTGTGCGAAGGTGAATGTTTTCAGAGTGGGTAGTACATCAAGTCACGTGGTACCTCCAATTGGTTAAACAAGGATAGCACGGGAGCAAGCCTCTATCTCTCTCTGATCGCTCGAGAACAAAGGAGTTATCTTTCTAGTATGGTTATAGTTCAATGGTGAATATATATGTATTTATAAATTAATAGATTATTATTATATTATTATACAATTGTATAATTTTAATGTTTCAGTTTTAATACGTCATGATATCATTCATGTTTGTGGCATAATTGCAATGGAATCATTTTGGTAACATCGTTAAATATGGAATGAAGTCTGTGCGAGATTAAAGATAAATTTATATAAGTTTACACAAGAAAAATAGTACAAAAAATAAATGAATAATAAACAAATATCAGATAAGTAGTTAATATTCATATATATATATATATATATATATATATATATATATATATATATATATATATATATATATATATATA